CCTAGAAAACCTCAAAATTAATATTGGACAATAGAAAACCAAAGTGGGGTTGAAAACTCTGTAGTCTGAACAACGTGTTAAGGGAAGAGGGCATAGGAACAGAGAAACACAGCCTTGAAAATAGAAGATAGGCCTGAAAGGTCAAGGGCAGCCTTCAAGAACAGAAAGTACATAAAAGACTACTGGTGATGCACACTCCTCATTCATCCAAACTCACAGGGAGCCATGCTGTGACTCTTCTTTCATGAAGAACTAAAGTGCATGACAGCTTTTAGGTAAGTATTGAAGCCATTATGCTGTCCTATATCATTAACAAATACATCAGTAGTCCTAACGTACTAAGAGTATGACACAGACCTGGCCCGTGGCATAATGAAAATTAGTATTTTTTTTAAAGATTTTATTTATTTACTCATGAGAGACAGAGAGGCAGAGGGAGAAGCAGACTCCTTGTGGGGAGCCTGATGCGGGACTTGATCCCAGGACGCTCAACCACTAAACCACCCAGGTGCCCTGAAAATTAATTATTTCTTTTTAGGGATTCTTCTTGCTTTTAATCCATATTTGAAATCACAAATACAATGTTAACTTTATGTTCTCTCCAAGAAAAAGGATGACAGATAAAAGATTATATGGCCAAATAAGATATTTCTGTATTTTCTAAATAGCTCATAATAATTAATCTACAATGGCCCCATAATTAAAAAAAATAATAATAACGACACTTGTCTGGCTTAGTCAGTATGATGTGACTCTCAACCTTAGGGTTGTAAGTAGAGGTTACTCAAAAAAAAATTAAAAACTATCCATTTTTCATTATGTTCTTAATTTCTGTATCTGTAAAGTGAGCTACCCAATATTACTGAAGTTCAAAATGCTAGATTATTTAGCCTATTAGGACTTATAATCCTATTAACTCTAATGTTCTTTTCAAAAGCTCAGTCAACAATTTTTAAGTTGTTGTGTGTTTTTTCCCCACACGAGAACACAGATATTTTGTGACTAGAGCAACTATTATGAATTATTCGATTATTCAACGTAGTTCTTCTGCCAGAGTAGGTGTTTGGAGTTGTGGCAGGGAGCTCAGAGTCAACGTCCTAATTTTTGATTTGTATCTGGTGTGTCACTTTCTGTACTGTAAGGGAGGCACTACTGACCCCTATCCTAACTTTTGGGAATGTTAAATAGATGTAAATCTTTGATGAGGGAGAATTTAAAAGGAGTTTGGGAGTAAAATATTTGTGTTTAGTTTTCACGTACTATAACTCCTCCCCTGAAATTAGACAAATGATTAAATGATTTTGTTTTCTGAGGTCAGTTGCACTCACCAGGATAGCCTTGGAGTCCATAGGCTTGCCACTTGCTGACTGGCTGAAGTCCTGCTCTATGTGCATCCTGGTCACTGACAGAAGACACACTCAGCTGAGATTTGACCACCTGACAGGAAGGAAAGAGAAGTCAGAGGGCTAAAGCTATTTTGCAGGTCAGCTCTGAGAATTCCAAATTTCTGAAGATATTTCTGGTATAAGGCAAAATTAGGAGTCCTAAGTCTGGGCTCCTAGACTCAGTTCTACCACTTGGTTGATGTAAGACTTACATAAGTCACCTCTTAGAGCCTCAGTTTTCTCTTCTATGTACTAACAAATACTAGAAAGTGATTTAAAATTAAGCAGTAATGAGAAGCAGGATGATTTTGGCCTTCAAGATTACCTTTTGGGATGACATCACACCTTTGTGGATTTCTTATAAGATTAAATTGTGGGCAGCCCGGGTGGCTCAGCGGTTTAGCATCGCCTTCAGCCCAGGGCGTGATCCTGGAGTCCGGGATCGAGTCCCATGTCGGGCTCCCTGCATGGAGCCTGCTTCTCCCTCTGCCTGTGTCTCTGCCTCTCTCTCTCTCTCTCTCTCATGAATAAAATCTTAAAAAAAAAAGACTCTAAATTGTGAAAAGCGTACTGAAATATCCTGTCAGAATTCTATTCACCTCAATGTGGCCCAACATAATGCTTCCAAGGCACTAGTATACAGTTGCTATTTAAACAAACTTATGAGGAACAATAGGCAGGGGAGGTTAAAAGACTGGAAGAGAGTGCTCCAACCAGACAGAATAACTGTTTCAGTAACACTGGAAAGTCTGTTTGCTAAAAGCAGAATATTTATTCTCTTTTAGATTAGATGAAACTTCAAATTTAAACTCAGAGCTTTTGCCTTTGTTAGTTACTTAGAAATTAAGCTTTTCAGGAGATCAAGTGTTCTTTGCATATGAGAGCATCTTACTGATGGCTCATTAAATTGGTTAAGGGATCCAATATTTAGTCACTGAAGACAGAGGACATTCATAAAACAAGTATTCTTTTTTTTTTAAAAAAAAAAACAAGTATTCTTTATTCTTCCATTAATAATAAACTTAGAGGGGAGCCTGGGTGGCTCAGTCGGTTAAGTGTCTGCCTTCAGCTCAGGTCATGATCCTGGGGTCCTAGTATTGGCCCCATATCAGGCTCCCTACTTGCTTGACAGTCTGCTTCTCCTTTTTACTCTGCCTGCAGCTCCCCCTGCTTGTGCTCTGTCAAATGAAGCAATAAAATCTTAAAAAAAAAAAAAACTCTGAAGAGTCTGTCTTGTCTTAGAATACATCAAATGATCTCTTCCAAAATGACATGATCACTTATCTTATTAACTTCACCAAGGGTAGAGATTTACAGAAAAAAATACCAAGTAGTGGCTGGTGTATTACCAGCCTCTGTAATAAAATGTTATCTGGAACTCTGAGCCAGGTACTGGTTAAGATGTTTGTAACGATTTCTTAAATAGACTATACTTAATAGTCTACTGTAATTGAGCAACACCCTCCTATCTGAAGTTTGTAGACCTCCATGCCAAGCTGAAACAAACCTCTGTGTTTCAAAAAAGGTTCTCCTTCCTCCCTTGCCTGTTAGCCATGATTTTCTTCCCTGCTCACACTTGCTCTCATAGCAACTTCTCCAATTTGCTACTTTCAATCCATTTTGAGCTGGGGAACTAAATACCCATTTTTTTTTTTTTTTAAGATTTTATTTATCATCAGAGACACGGAGACAGGCAGAGACATAGGCAGAGGGAGAAGCACTAAGTTTTATATACTCAATGGATAGGACATTTATTGAGTGCTTACTGTTTGATACTGTGCTAGACACAATATCCTTTTCTCAGAGGCTTGCTTACATTCTAAAAGTATTTTTTTTTTTTTTGAGAGAGAGTGAGTGTCAGCACAGCAAGGTGGGCAGGAGAGAATCTTTTTTTTTTTTTTTAAATTTATTTATTTATGATATTCACACACACAGAGAGAGAGAGAGAGAGACAGAGACACAGGCAGAGGGAGAAGCAGGCTCCATTCCCCGGGAGCCCGATATGGGATTCGATCCTGGGTCTCCAGGATCGCGCCCTGAGCCAAAGGCAGGCGCCAAACCGCTGCGCCACCCAGGGATCCGCTGCGCCACCCAGGGATCCCGGCAGGAGAGAATCTTAAGCAGGCTCTGCACTTGGAGGGGAATCGACCTGATGACACTGAGATCATGATCTGAGCTGAAATCCAGTCAGATGCTTAACCAAGGCACCCTCATTCTATAAGTATTTAAGTACTGCAGCAAAACATAGGCTAAAGGAACTGAATGAGGGTCTGAAGGTCTGTCCCTGTATATTATTCTCAGAGTGCAAACTTTCTGTACGCGATTTTGACAACTCTAAGACCATTTCTTTTTTTCTTTTTAATTTTTTTAATTTATTTTTTATTTATGATAGTCACACACAGAGAGCGAGAGAGGCAGAGACATAGGCAGAGGGAGAAGCAGGCTCCATGCACCGGGAGCCCGACGTGGGATTCGATCCCGAGTCTCCAGGATCGCGCCCTGGGCCAAAGGCAGGCGCCGAACCGCTGCGCCACCCAGGGATCCCTCTAAGACCATTTCTGCTAACAAATGAAGCTCCTAGGAAGCGGAGTTCTTGACAAACATGGTATTGCTGTAGCTCCAATTTTGTTCCGAGCTGTTACTAAGCTTAGAAAGAACCCTTCAACCAGCCATCTGTGGACAACATCAAGGGCAAATTAAGGGATCAGGGATTCCCAGTGTTACAGCGGTTGTAAAGAAATTATGCATTATTGTATAGTTGTAATTTCCCCTGTGCCCTCTGTCATCCTTTATGTTTCTTTTCTTACTTTCTATGGGTGAAAGGTAGAAATAATGGGCAGCGCTTGGATTCGTGTGCCCTTTACTTTCAAACGTGCAGAGATTACCTCGATCTTTCAACGCCCTCTTTCTAAAAGGCCCGGAGACGACAGGAACTAGTTTTATGGACAACGTTTTAATTAACAACATTGATCCCTCTCAATTCTGGGATAACTCGGGTAGTTTTTTTTTTTTTTCCCCCAAGCTGCTGAGTGCTATCCTAACATCTACGAATACGGTTTATGGATTTTCACACACATCGAAGTAGAGACGCAAATGCACACTTAATGTTAGGCACGAACGCCAATTCCCAAGCATTCTTGGAGGCCGCAGCCAGGAATGGCCGAGTGGAGATGCCGGCAACGCAGCTCTTCACGCCAAAGTGAGACACTTCGTGGACAATTAAACTCCGCGCCCACGGAGAGCGGGAATTACTAACAGTCTGGAAGAGAAAAGAGGTGAGCAGGGCCCTAAAGGTCCTCCAAGGAGCCGGGAGAGGTCAGCTGACCCGGGGCGCGGTCCTCTCCTCTGTCCGTACCTTGCGGGCACCAGGCCCCGTGCCCCGGGCTGTGTGGGCCGCCGAGAAGTCAATGACTGCTCCCAGGTCTGCCGTCCCGGGGCGGCTCTGCCGGTAGAAGCGGAAAAGCTTCCGAAAAGCGTCCTCCCCTGGCTCCGCCGCAAGCGTCGCTACAGAGCCCACGGCCGCCGCCATCTTCCCCATGTCGTCGTCCGGCTTCTTCTGACCCGGAAGCAGATTGCGTGCCCCGGATCCGCCAGTTTCTTCCGGGGTGGCGACCACAGGTCACAGAGGTCCTCAATCTAAAGATGGCGGCCTCAGCAGCGAGGGGCGCTGTGGCGCTGCGTACCAAGATTGGCCGGCCGGTGGCTTTTGTCAGAAAAATTCCCTGGACTGCGGCCTCGAGTGAGTGATGGAAACGTATTAGGGACGGAAGTTTTAGGTACAAGCGGTCCTCGAAAGCCCTGCTTTCGGCTGAACACTTAAATCAGCGTGGTGGCTGGATTAAGAGCTGTGGCTCCTGAGCAAGCCAGTGAGCAGAAATAAATAAATAAATAAGTATATATATATATATATATAAAATATATATGTCAATATCTATCTATCTAATCTATCAATCCATATATATGAATATATATCAATAATATATCAGTATATATCTCTATATCATATATATCTATCAATATCTATCAATATGTATCATATATGTATATATAATATAATATTACAATTTGCAGTGAGTCGTTCCGGGATGCCACTGAGTTTTTGCGGCACGTATTCACGGCCTCCTGCCTTTCAGAGTGATTCGGTGGAACGGTTCGTTACTTGAAAACTTTAAGATCGACGATTTAGAAGGGGTTATTTTGACTGCGGTGTGGAGGATGGATTCAAACCGGCAAGATTGAGGGCGAGGAGACGCGTTAAAAGGCAGTTTCAGTAATTTAGTCCAAAGACGAGGACCTGAAAATAGGATAGTGGTGGAAAGGGGGTCATGTCCACTTATGTTAAAATCCACGGCTTTTCGCGATGGCTTGAATAGGGGAAAGAGTACGGAATGAGGAAAAGGGAAGAACGACTTTTTAGCGTTGGTTTTTGGCGTTGGTGATTAGGAGATAGGGGAGGCGGGTTTAAAGACGATGAAGAGTAAAATTTAAATGTGTTGAGTTTGAGAAAAACCTGCGAGTTCTCCATCACGCAGTTGGACGGAGGAGATGTGTGTCATTGACTGAGAAGTGCCCCTTGAAGCCCTACCGCTTAGGTTAGAAGGCCACCTCGGCCCTCCAGTCGTTATGTAACCCGACTTACACGGGAGGTACTTGGGAAAAGGGCTCACACTGTACCTCGGTTTCATCTATGAAACGAGGTCAGTAATACCTTCTTGATAGGATTTTTGATAAGATTAAACGAGTTTGTATGTAAACCACAGACTTGTGCTAGATACAGAACGAGTACTCCATAAATGATTGTCATTTTCATATAATTGAAACTCATGGGAGAGGCCTAGGCCGGAGATAGAGAGTTGGGAGTAATCAGTATTGAAGTCTCTCACCAGCTTTGATTTTCGTCAGTTGCAATTTTGAGAAAGGGTTTTTTACACTTGCTTACCAAAAATTAAAAAATCTATGGTCACTTTTGTAGATATTCATGTGTCAGGTCATCTCCCTTAAACAAAGAAATGGAAATCGGATTGCTTACCTGTTTTTGTGGTTCCGGTGTGAGTAGTAGAGTGGATAATAGATTGATATGGGTCCCATCTTCTTAATATGAAGCAGATGAATATACAGCTTTGAAACAGTCTTCATTCATTCATTCATTCAGCAAATATTTAAGGAGTATCTGTGTGTGGTGGGCTTTGTTTTTGGTGCTTACATCTGTTTTCCCATAATAGTTATAGGTAATTTGGCAAGAGAGCTACGTTCCAGAGCTTGTTTTGGAAGAGAATATTTTCTAGAACTTTTAATACATGGTTTAAAACATGCATATTTAACACTATTTTGTTTATTCTCCAGTAACATGTTCCATGAGGTCCTAATATTGCCAAATGGTTTGACCAACTGTTGGAGCTCTTCAGAAATTTAGTCCCTTTGGGTTGTTGAAGCATTTATTCATTCAGCAAGTATTGCACTTCTGTGTATCAATTGTTTTTGACATAGTGGACTCATCACTTAGGAAGTTTATGATATAGTGGTGAAGGTGAGGAGACTTACAGCAGATACAGGCAGTTGTTGAGCCAGTGACATTTAGATGAACCAGGGAGAAATAACCTGGTAATATGAAGTATAAGCCAGTGAAAGTACAAGCACTGTAGTTCAGAAGAGATCATGTAATTTTTGAACTTTAAGATTATCTACTATGCATCTTATCTGCTATTATCTCACGGAGTAGTACATTGCCTTGTATTGCAGTAGAAGCCCAATAAAATAACATTCAGTGGATATATTTGGCCTGGGTCCTGAAGGAGAGTTATAATTTAGGCAGGAAGAGATAGGATTATTGACATACCAAGGGGGAAGAACAACAGGTAAAGATGGGAACCCACAGAACAGATATATAGAATTTAATTTGCTTACTAGAGAGTCACTGTGGGCCACCAATGGGTAATAAGGCAGGAAAGTAGGGTCATCTCAGCAAATTTTAGAGTGTTAACTATTTAACTTAGTATAAATTTTATGAAAGGCAAGTAAATTGAGCTTTTACTTGAAAATCTATAATATGGCTATCAAGACACTGTATTTTAATTATCTGTCTTCTATGAGTTTCTCACAGGGATTATTATCCGTGCACCTAGCGCAGTAACTGTGATGATGATGCTCATTATCCGCTGGGAATGATGACTATAGTCAACTCAGCAATTTATTTGTGTATGCCCCTACCTTATCTCCCCAAATCTCTGGTACATTGCAGTTTTATACAGATGGCTCCTGACTCAACAATGTTTTGATTTACAGTTTTTTGACTTTGCAGTGGTATAAAAGTGATATATATTCCGAAGAAACTATACTTCAAATTTTTAATTTTGATTTTTTTCCCATACTGCATAGTGTTATGCAGTATGATAATCTCTTGTGATACAAGGCAGCAGCATCAGCCATGTGCATGCAGCTCCCAGTCAGCCATGTGATCATAAAGGTAAACAACTGAGACTTACAGCCATTTTGTGCCCATGTAACCATTCTGGTTTTCATTTTTAGTAGCCAATAAATTACCTGAAAAATTCAACACTTTATTATGAAACAGGCTTTGTGTTATGTGGTTTTGCCCAACTGTAGGGTAGTGTAAGTGTTCTGAGCATGTTTAAGGTAGGCTAGACTAAGCTATGATGTTCAGTGGGTTAGGTATATTAAATGCATTTTCGACTTACAGTATTTTCAACTTATAATAGCTTTATCAGATGTAGCCCCATCATAACTTGAAAATCTGTAGTCAATACCATAGCTCCTTCCTAAATCTCAAGGCTTCAAGGAAATGCCAAGTAGTTCTATTCACAAAATTTGAGGACTCTACGTTCCCCTTTTGGTTTCTGGCTACAGTCTAGGTTGGAGGATACAAAATACATTAACTACTTTTTTTTTTTTAAGTAATCTCAAAAAAAAAAAAATCTCTATGCCCAATGTGGGGCTTGAACTCAGAACTCTGAAATCAAGAGTCACATCCTCTATCAGCTGAGCCAGCCAGGAGCTCCAAAATCTATTAACTACTTTTAACATGTTTTCTTCTCCTATGCAGGTGAGCTGAGAGAACACTTTGCACAGTTTGGCCATGTACGAAAGTGCACTGTACCTTTTGTGAGTATTATCTTTAAAAAAAAAAAGTTATACCTTAATTATTGGATCCTCTAATTTTATCCTCGAATTCTCGACTTTTGTTAAAGCATACCAACTTATATGACTTTATTGGAGTGTAGCTGTTCAGAGTCTTTATTGATAAAATTGAGGGTGGTATCGATTAAAAAGTAAAAAAAACCTTACCCTATGTAACAAATTACCACAAATGTAATGACTCAAATAAACACACATATATTATCTCACAGTTTTTACAGATGAGAAGTCGGCATAGCCTTGCTGGATCCTTTGCTCAGGGTCTCACATAGCTTACAGTCTGGTATCAGCTGGGGCTTTGGTCTCATCAGAGGCTCAAAGGCTCAACTGGGAAAGATTGATTTTCAGGCTCTCTCAGGTTGTTGGCAGAAGTCATCTTTGAACTGGCAGACTGAGATATCTACTTTTTTGCTGGCTTTCAGCTTGTAGGGACTATGTATAGTTCTGTGTTACCTGGCAGGTCTCCCAACATGGCAGCTTACTTCTTTAAAGAGGAGTTTCTCTAGTCTGTTATCTTATAACAAAGTCACAAGAGTGACATCCCATCACCTTCGCTATATAACCTGGTCAGGGGAGCAACATACCATTAGTTTTGCTATTTTCTTTTGGTCAGAAGTATGTCACAGGTCCCACATACACATAAGGAGGGGATTATGTGGGACAACATAGTGGGACATGTGGAAATTATGGGACCATCTTAGAATTATACCTATTATAATAATAAGGACTTGATACTGGAGAATGACTTTATAATAAAACTAATTGGGATCCCTGGGTGGCGCAGCGGTTTGGCGCCTGCCTTTGGCCCGGGGCGCGATCCTGGAGACCCGGGATCGAATCCCACATCGGGCTCCCGGTGCATGGGGCCTGCTTCTCCCTCTGCCTGTATCTCTGCCTCTCTCTCTCTCTCTCTGTGATGACTATCATAAATAATTTTTTTTAAAAAATTAAAAAAAAAAAAACTAATTGGCAGAGAATACCTATTTTAACTTTTATCCTTATTTAAATGGACTGCTTTTTTTTTCTTTTAGTGTTTTTACATTTGTTATATTTTCTTTGCTTTCTAAGGAAGATATAAAAATCAGTTTATAAATTTGTTCTACTTTATTTGGGCTGTATTTTTCTGTAGGCTTTCTAGAATTACTGGGTTTTGGGGGGTGGGATGTGGGTGCACATGAAGTTTACACATGCTTCATTAAAACTGCCCCCTTTTTCCTCAAGGCACAGAAAAGGCTATGGCAAAATAATAACCTAAAGTAATTAAAATTGTTAACTCTTGGTTTAATGTTAGCTGCCTTCCAGGGATCTAATAGATTACTCCTATCTAGTGCTAGTGAGAGTGTGGGGAAGCTGGTACTGAAATTGTTCAGAAATGTACTTCATTTCTGAAGGGTAATTTGGTAAAATTAAGAATTTGTATTTGCTTTATCTAGCAATTCCATTTTTGGAATTTATTCTCCAGAAATGGTGTGGTCAAAAATGTTCAAAGCAGCCTTAGTTAATAAGTGGAAAGAACCTAAATGTTCATTAATGGGATTAAATAGATATTAATTCATTGATACAATGGAGTTTTATACAGTAGATTAAAAGAATGAGGCACATTACTCAAAAATGTTTCTATAAGTTTAAAAACTACAATTTTATAAAGAGGATGAAATTTGTTTTTTTGTTTTGTTTTTTTGAAGAGCATTAAAAAAAATTTCCCCAGGAACACCTGAGTGGCTCAGTCCGTTAAATGTCCTATTCTTGATCTCAGGGTGGTGAGTTCAAGCCATGCATTTGGCTCGACCCTAGACATGGAACCTACTTAAAAATTTCTTCAAAAATAGTAACACATTTTTCTTGATTACCATTTGCTTCTTAAAAGTATAAACAAAATTATTCAAGACCTGGAGTTGGGACGCCTGGGTGGCTCAGTGGTTGAGCATCTACTTTGGCCCAAGGCATGACCTGGGCCCCAGGATCGAGTGTCACATCGGGCTCCCTGCGTGGGGCCTGCTTCTCCCTCTGTCTGTGTCTCTGCCTGTCTCTTTCTGGGTCTCTCATGAATTTAAAAAAAAAAAAAAAAAGAAGACCTGGAGTTAACAGATCTTCAAAGAGAATTTTGACTCTTGGTAAAACTAAATATAACAGGAGAAAAGTTAGTTTCTGATTAACAAGTTCATATACTCATATTAGAAATCCAGGTTCCTATTTTTTTTTTAAGATTTTATTTTATTTATTTATTCATGAGAGACAGAGAGAGAAGCAGGCTCCATGCTGGGAGCCTGATGTGGGACTCGATCATCCCAGGACCTCTGGATCAGGACCTTGAGCCACCCAGGCGTACCCAGGTTCCTATCTTAGATACATAGTACCTAAATTTTTACAAACAGATTTTTTAAGGCTTTTACTTAGGGAAATGGCCATATGGAAGTAGAGGAGAAATTGTAGCTATCTGAGGTAAGGTGTGAATCACTGGGATGTTACCAGAAACTTTTCCTGCAGTCTAGGTTAATACTAAAGTATTTTAAGTATTAAAAAGTCACCTTTAAAATAGGAGGGCGGGCAGCCTGGGTGGCTCAGCGGTTTAGCGCCGCCTATGGCCCAGAGCATGATCCTGGAGACCCAGGATCAAGTCCCGCGTCGGGTTCCCTGCATGGAGCTTGCTTCTCCCTCTGCCTGTGTCTCTGCCTCTATCTCTCTCTGTGTGTATCTCATGAATAAATAAATAAAATCTTAAAAAAAAATAAAATAGGGCAATTTCTGAAAATTTGGTTTGGGGGTGGTGCACAGCATAACTTTGTAACAAGACTGACCATGTACACTGAGTGAATGGACATCTTTGTATCTGTTTAAATAGTAGGGGTGGTGGTGTGGGTTAGAATCATCTCCACATGTGCTAATGTATAGGTTGAAGGATAAGCACTCTGCTTTTTACACAAAGGGAAGTAGTGTTACTGTTAAGTCGAACTAGGTAAGTTAGGGTTATATATATTTTTTTTCCTATTTTTCATTAGGAGTATGTGATTATAATGGTAGTGGTGGTGATAAGAGTAATTGGTCTCCAAAATTACCAGAAATGAACTAGGTTTTGAGGCTTAAGTTTTTAGCTCCTATAAGTGAAGAAGTTAGAAACAGAGTATTTCTTTATGTGATCAAAATGTCCCATGATTATCCTTGTTAGTGTAGTTTGTATCTTGCATGACAGAAACCTTACTACCCATATCTTACTTCCTCCAATGGCAGCAGAAAAGCAGAATGTTAAGATTAACAAAGGAGTTAAGCCTTTGGTAACTAGGAGGGTAAGCCTGTATTAAAGCAAAGTTTTTGATGTTTATTGAAATGTCAGTTATCCCATTTTGGCAGATAAAGTTGGTAGCTTGATTTCTAACTCATGGAAACTTTTCCATGTTCATGTTAATCTTTTCTAAATTTTGAATTTTTAGGACAAAGAGACAGGATTTCATAGAGGTATGGGTTGGGTTCATTTTTCTTCAGAAGAAGATCTTCAGAATGCACTACAACAAGAAAAGCATATTATTGATGGTGTAAAGGTAATTATTTTTCTGTATATTATCACAAACTTTCTGTATATCAGTAGGTTAGAAGTGTCGAATGACAAGGACCTTGGGAAATTTGTAACTGAGGTTCCCTTAATATTGGTTAAAGAATGGTGGTGGTGATAGAGTGCCTGTTCTAAAATGTCTGGGGAGGGTAGTTTAGGAAGATCCTTTAATGATTAGCAATCTAACACAACAGTGGCAACAGCAGTCTACTTGCAAGGTAGGGAGATGGGTCGAAACCTGGCTTTTCCACTTACCGTGCAACCTTTGGTTAAACTCATTTGGTTTAGTCTTCAGAACAGGGAACAAATAACATTCTTTTGACCTATTGGTGCTGACTCCCTTATAAAAAGGCAGCCTAAAAGGGGCAGTTTTCAGTTGTAATGTTTTTGCAGATACTGTCATTCCTTATAATGCTTATTTGATTTTTCTTTTCTTTTCTTTTTTTTTTTAGCTCCACATTCAAGCTCGGCGACCAAAAGTTTTGCAAGGGGGTCAAACATCTGATGAAGAGAAAGATATCTGAGACTATCTCTACCTATTAAATAAAGTAAAAAAATTAGAAATTTTGTCTAAATGTTTTTATTTGAAACAAATAGTTGCACCGAGCAAGAGCTTACTTCCCCACTCCAAATTAAAACAGAGTGTAATAGGGGCAAACGTCAGGATAGTTCCAGTACATGAACATCCTTCTACTCACTGTGGCTGGGGCAACTTTATTCATCAGCAGTCATTCTTACACAAAATATTAACCCCAAAGTACTAATGTCACACAAAAGGAAGTGGTCTTAGTTTCATGTGTGGGGCTGTATGTTCTATAAATGCCAAAAGGTAGGAGAAGCACAAACACAACCCACTCTTTAAAAAAAAACTAAATAGTTCAAAGAATTTTCCATCCCCCCCCTTATTCCCATAATAAAAAGTAGTGCTGGGTTCTGACACCCAGATTTGGTTTTTATCCTGGCCATTTACAAAGTATTTTCCCATCTGACTTGCATCATTAGGGTTATCGATAAAAGTTCATTCACTTTGAAGAGAGGTGCATCTACTCCTTCCTCCTCTTCTTGCCTTCATGCTCATGTTCCTTGGGGCGGCTGCTGTCTGAGGGTCTTTTAGAGCCACCGTGCTGTTTGGCCTCTTCCAAAAACTTGTCCAAACCAAAAGGATCTTCCTCAAACTGAACTGGTCCTTCTCGGCCTCTTTGCCTACGGTCTGAACCAGAAAACTCCTTATCGGGAACAAATCTAGAGGAAAAAGAGAAAGGACTATGAACTACTTTGTTTTCACTAGTGCAAAACAATGAAACTGAGCTGTCTGCTTTAGTACCTGTTGGTCTTTATTCTGGCTTCTAGGTCATCACCATACATGTCCTTGTCCAGATTTTTACTGGGCCTGTAAATATTCTGGGCCATATCTTTACCACCTCTCCAGGCTTGATCATAAACGTTGTAAATTTCATCTTCTCCACCTGCAAAACCACTGTCCATACCCTGTGGGAAAAGGACATTAAATAAAAATGTATTATTAAAAGTTGGATCTGATTACATTCATGTAATCATTTATAGCTCACATTTTCAGCAATCTGAACTGCAAATTAAAAAGATCTTCATAAAAACTCACAAAGTCCATAAATTTTTATTCTTATCACCTTTGGTCCTTAGATTAAGTAAAGGGGTAATTAACAAGTTTGACAATTTTAGTGAAGTCATTAAAATTGCAGGACAGTATAAGCAGGTACTTGGCAATTTCTGTTGGATGGTGGCAAGAAGACAGAACTGTAAAGCATGTATCTGATGTCATTTATTAAGTTCATAATATAGTAAGTTCTATGCCCAACATGGAGCTTGAACCACAACCCCAAGATCAAGAGGTGTACACTGTACTGACAGTATCTCATGTCATTTAGAATAATAGTGTTATATATCTTAACTCCCTGAAAACATCACTATTATAGCATGAGACAATAAGGCTCTTAATGAAAATCCTAAGTCAACAACAAACTTGTTTAATATATTTGGGTGGTTCCTTAATAAAGGGATGTGCTTTTTTAGGAAAAATTTATATTATAGCTTTGAAAAAATTTAAGCTTGTAAGAGGTGACTGTCATAAATATTTACTTTTGTGGAATTTTCATGCCTAACCTCAGGCTGCTAATACTGCATATATATACTGTACCACTGTATATATAGCGTTGAAGACCACAACCTTTGAAAACAAATGTTTGAATCTTCTACCAATTTCTAGCTAAACCTCTATGTATCTCAATTTTCTCATATACAAATAGAGATTATAATAAATAGTATGACTTCATAAGGTCTATATAAGGATTAAGTGAGATAATGAAAGTAAAAGACTTTAGAACCCTGCCAAGAATGTAAAAAAGTACCCAATAAGTTACTATTAACTAGAAGAGCTTACTCAAATGCTACCTTCAAATCTTAAGGCCTTCCAAGTCATAATAAATATTTCCCCTCTGTATCCCAGTAGAACTTTTTATACTTTATCATTATTGCAGTCTGCCTTGTCCTTATTTATACATGTCTTTTCCAGTAGACTTGAAGGCTCCTTCACAGCAAAAGTACATCTATCTTTGATCTCACTGTCTTATGCATAGTACACAATCAATGTTGGGTGGATTAACACATAAAAGCACTTATTCAGGCCTAATGTGTCCTAGCTAGTTCATAACAACAGGTACTTGAAATCAGATTTCCTGACAAACTAGTCTAGCACTTAAATTTAGTTTTACAGCTTCATCTTTTAAAGATCTCAAGTTATATTTCTTTAGCATTACATTTTTTTTTCAAAGATTAACAAAAAACCCGAGATACTTTTGTCGGACACTGGCTCTACCTTATAAATAAGACTTATATACCCAAATCAAATTTTATCACACTATTTTTCTTTCATTTTCTAATAGTGTCTTAAATTTTAACCATCTGTAAGAGGTCAAAATCAGAACTGTTTACCCTTAGATATGACAAAATAAGATAAAATGGTTCTGTAAGTTACATCACACAACTTCTAATTTTTCCCTCTCATGCCAGCATATTTTAGGCTGATCCAAATCTATGGTATGTGAATTTTCTTTTCCCTGAGGATTAATTCACATTAACTAAGACCTGGTATTTCTAAACTCCTTATACCTTCGACTGGTTGAAGAGCCTTTGGTCATACTGAACTTCATTGGACGTCCGCGGATTGGGCACACCAAGAGCAATGACTTCACTGATATCTCGATTTTCATTTCTCTGTAGTTTTGACCTGTTTCAAAATACAATGTCACTAACTGAAAACTCTTCACAGACAAGCCGAATTTCAATTTAAATACAACCAATCTTAGAAGCAAAGTTAATGAATATGTCCTGTTCATATCTTGTGAACATATATTCCTTGATAATGCATAATCAGGCTGGTAGTCCTTATAGCATTTCAGAGACAGGATTATTAGAAGAGGTGGGGTTTTACAATCAGGCCTTCCTGTTAGCTGAAAAGAACTGTCAAGAGACTCACTCTTGACATGAAGTTTTTAATATAAGCAATCACCTTACAGAAAGAGCATGCTGAGATATGAAATTGCTACGGTCTGTATTTGCTATTATATGATGGGGGGGGAGGGAATGGATGCAAATTAGACGTATATGAATCACTTTCAATAAGCCAAATTCTGTTCTTTACCTAAACCGCATTTAGTAATTTTACCCTATTAGAATTTTGAGGAAAACATGTCAATGACTGAATTACTCAGTATGATTTTCAATATTCAGATTATCTTAATTCCCCTGCTGTTTCAGTATGTATGCAATCTACATCGCAGTGAAACCATGGTAACTGTCATCATTTATTTTACCAGAAACCCAGGTCTTAAAATAATTTCTATAGACGACCAGATTTTCATCCAATCACAAATTTACAGCTTTTCTACATTATCAATTCTCATAACCACTTTACTGGTTTTAAGGGCCCAATTTATCTACAGAGCCATTTTGACTTTTACAGCTTAGGAATTTCAGACCATTAGTATTTTTAATTGTGCACTTTCACATTTCATTCCTCTCTCTTCTACACTGCGCATTTACCTACAATTCTAAATTCAGATTTTCTGCTTCTCCATGGTTTCCACTTATCCAGGGAGATGAACTATGCCATTAAATAACAATACCGGCAGGAATCTTCTTTTTCAATGTTTAAGACATAACTTGAAAAAATGGATTGTATCAGCCACCAAAGTGATGAGAAAAAAAATGTTTTATATTTGCATTTAACACTCACTCAGAATTCAGCGCTCAGTCTTTGGTGAAGCATAAACTTTACCAATCCCTACTTTAGTGTGAGTCCCCATACATGTATTTTGTTTGTTCCAAGCAGGCCTGTACTTATTAACAGTGCTTTGTTAATATTCTCAAGTAATTTTATATGGTAGCTTTGTCTTTCTGAATTTTAAGTGAACTACTTATGAGAAGAGGCCAATTTTCACTTCTCACAAAACCTGCTCTCCTCCTCCACTGTACTTGGGACAGTCCTCTGCATATAAGAGGATCTCAATGCAGGTACAGAAGCTTCTTCCCTGTCTAGAGGAATAGGCACATAATCAGTTTGTCCTACCACTTGAAATAGGAAAGAAAAGACCAGAACAAGCCTATCTACTGCCTTCTTTTCATAAACAAGATCTGAATTCCCTTTTCTATATTCCTATCATTCGCAATCTAGCTGACTCTACAAGGTGATGAGAAAGGATTTCTTCCAGGGAGTTAATTCTTCTGCTAAGAAAAAGTAAGTAGTTTAGTGTAGGAAAGTAAGTGCTGATTTAGTAGATTATCAAATTAAGAGAGGAAAGGGAGAGAAGCAAAACTGGTTCCAGTGGACTAAACCTCTTCTCGAAAGGATTCACAAAGTCACTACTCACAATTTGTATTTATCTCAAATAGCACCTACCTCTTATCAGGAGCTGCCCTGGAAAGATTCCGGTCGTGCTGTCTCTCTTTTCGCCTGTCATGCCGGATTTCATCCCTCTCACGTGCCTCCCCATCCTCTGTGTAAACAGAGTTGAAAATTCCTCATCACTATATTACGCATTAATATTTAGAATGAAAATATTCTTTAACCATGACCAATAATTCCATGAATTTCTTTATAGTCACATTCAGCCCTTTTAACTCACTTGCAATTAACTTAAATCCAACAGTATTGGTTTAATTTTTTTTTTTAATTTTTATTTATTTATGATAGAGAGAGAGAGAGAGAGAGAGAGAGAGGCAGAGACATAGGCAGAGGGAGAAGCAGGCTCCATGCACCGGGAGCCCGAGGATCGCGCCCTGGGCCAAAGGCAGGCGCTAAACCGCTGTGCCACCCAGGGATCCCTTGGTTTAATTTTTGAATATAAATTCCAGAATCATGCATGCAGCTCAAATGTTTAGAGGTAAAGTATACTGATGACTTTGACTTTGCAATGCATCAAAATTGTAAGGTGGATAGAGAGATTAGCAGATAGGTGATAAAGTAAATTTAACAATGTCAATTGTTTTTTTGTTTTTTAAGATTTTATTTATTCATGACAGACACACAC